ATATATATATATACACTTGCTTATAGAAAGCAAGTTTTATACTTATTTTGTAACTATTTTCTGATGTAGGAAAGCAAAGATTTTCTTAAAGTTTCTGATTGGGCTTAAGAACATTTGACAGAAGTTTGTAAGAGAAACTTGTAGGGATGTAAAGATCTCTGCCTCTACCCTCTGAGGGTTCCATAACTCAGTCTATGAAATAAGCTGACAGGAGGCACATTAAAGGGACCAGTACTTAAGGTTGGCTTATATGTAGAGTATTACATGAAAAAAATGAAGATATCTTAAAACCTAGTGATATCTACAAGCTTATACCCTCTTCATAAGAGGGGAAGAGACAGGAAGATACAGGTAAAGAGGAGGAAGTGATTACAAGTGTGGCCATAGACCTTTTTGTACCTGAGTATTGGAAATTGAACTTGGTTCCTCACCCTTTCAAGTCAAACACTTTACAAACTGAGCTCTCTCACCAGATCCCTCATACTTCATTATTGGCATATCCCAATATGCCAAGGACCCAGTTCAGAGATAAATGCTGGACTTTATATCATGGTAGAAAAGGAGGACAGCATTTGCCAGGCAAAGTACCAGCAATATATTTGTTTCCCATGTCATCATATGCTTGGTTAGTACAGCTTCTTTCCTCTTCCTGTCCTAATTCCAATTTCTATTCTGCGATGAAATACCATGACCGAAATGCAAGTTGGGGAGAAAGGGTTTATTTTGTGTACACCTTCATTTTGCTGTTCATCATTGAAAGGAGTCAGGACAGGATCTCAAACAGGGCAGAAACCTGGAGGCAGGAGCTGTACAGTAGCCATGGAGGAATGCTGCTTACTGGCTTTCTCATTATAGCTTGGTGGCCTGCTTTCTTATAGAACCCAGGACCACAGGGCTAGGGATGGCACCACATACCTCCCCCATCAATCACTAATTAGAAAAATGCCTCAGGACCAGGTCCTAAGGAGTTCCTTTCTCTATTTGACCTAGAAGTTATTAAAGACATATGCATATTTAACACATTAAAACATTTATGTAGAATATTCAAAACATTATATATAAAACATATCACACATGAAAATTTTAAAAAATGCCAGACAATAAAGAGAAGAAAAGATCAAAATGTGCAGCAGGGTAGCAGTGGTGCACATCTTTAATCTTGGCACTCAAGAGGCAGAGAAAGGTGGATCTTTGAGTTCAAGGTTGCCTGGTCTACAAAGTGAATTCCAAGACAGCCAAGGCTACACAGAGGAATCCTGTCTCAAACAACTAAAAGAAAAAGAAAAAAAGAAAAGAAGAAAAAGAATACTGTGTACAATGTTGCTGGTTAAAAAACAAAACACATTTTTCTACTATATTAAAAACCACAATAGAAGCAATGGAAGAAATAGCTTAGTGGTTAAGAACACTTGTTCTTGTAGAGAACCCTGAGTGACTGTTCCTTACACCCACATGATGGTTCACAATTATCTGTAACTCTACTTTCAGGACATACACTGAGTACACATACTTAGATGTGGGAAAACTACTAACACATAAAAATAAACATGTATCTAAGACAAACTAACAAAACCTGAAATTGAACAAAAAGACAGACTACTCTGAAAAAACAAACAATACAAGCAATCTATTCCCAGAAGGAATGTTAAACTAGCCAACAAACATAAAATTTGAGTTAAAAATAACCGACATTATTCTATATCCTTCAGTCTCTGAACAAAATGAATGAGCCCACAGAGCATGGGAAGCTGAAACTGACACTTCTGGAAGTTGAGGTGTTCTTAGAATGCCATTTACTAAATGTAAAAAGTACTTTATAATTAGCAATATGGGGTCCTATTTGTTGCATCGTATTCAGTTTAGTATTTGCCACAGATTAACAAATGATCATAATAACTTTATGTGAAAGACTAAATAAAGCTAACTAAAAAAAAGTTAAACAACACCCAACTTTTTTGAAAAACAAAACACCACAACCAATCAAATAATTGTTTAAAACAGCCTCTAGCTGTATAGCCTAGACTAGCCTAAATTCAGGATCCTTTAGCTTTGGCCTCCTGTGTACTTGAGATAACAAATCAATGCCTTAGACAATTGGTTTTCTAAAATTTTGTTGAACTAGAACAACAACAAAGCTAAATTCAGGGCCAGAAAGATGGATCAGAGTAAAAAGGAACTTGCCATCAAGCCTGATGACTTGAGCTAATCTCCCGGACTCTAGTGGAAGACAACCAATTTCAAATTGCCCCCTCGACTTGCTGATACAAAAGCCTTCCCTCCTTCCCTCCACACAAATAACTTAGGATAGAAAAAGGGAACTCAACAAACCAGGTGTGTGGGGAGGAGGGGGTCGCTAACTCTAGCACTTGGGAAGGAGGATCAAAGACAAAAGTGGCTTAACTAGCAAAATCTGCAAAAGCTTCATTATCTGTGGACATTATCTGCAGTACATGGAAGATAACCAACTGTCCTTGAGAATTGAAGCACCACGCACTTCCTCAAAGTCAAACCTCCCAGCACCCAGGATTCTTGTAGTTTTGGTGGCTCGAATTAAAAAAACTATTGCGCATTTGTCTTGCCCAGGCCCTATGCCGAGTGCTGCAGCCCATTGCAACTCAGGGCACTTACCTGGAGAGGTACCACCCAGGCCATTACACTACCATGCCTTATCCACACCTGGAGAGGGTAGATTCTCCCAGGGATATCAATTATAAAACAACCCAGCTAAAAGGCTTTTTCACAGAAGCTTGGAGAAAACAAGCTAGGTGGACCTTAATTGTCTACAGGGAAAGGAGAATACCTAAAGCTACCCGGTTGTTTCTAACTCCCACTAAGTTTGTACCCAAATTACACTAGTTGCTGTGAAATTAGTGACAAGCTCTTTTGAGTTATGTAGGTGGCTCTGAAAAGAGCCGTTGGGTTATTGAAGAAGCCTCCAACTGTTCACTTTTTCTTGGGCGCCGCCTTCTTGGGCTTAGCTGGGGTCTTTGGCTTTGTCACCTTTGCCTTGGAAGCCTTAGGCTTCACTGCCTTCGCCTTGGAAGGGCTCTTGGCTACCTTCTTGGGCTTCACCACCTTCGGCTTCTTGGGACTCTTGGAAGTCTTCTTGGCGACTGCAGGTTTCTTGGGCTTCTTTGGAGTCTTGACAGTCTTCTTCGCTGCAGCCCCAGCAGTCTTCTTGGGTTTCTTAGCAACCCCGGGTGCTTTTGCTTTCACCGACACTTTGGTGGCAGTGGCCTTGGAGTCACCCTTTTTGTTCAGCTTAAAGGAGCCAGCAGCGCCGGTGCCCTTGGTCTGCACGAGGGTGCCTTTATTCACCAGGCTCTTCAGCCCGAGCTTAATGCGGCTGTTGTTCTTCTCCACATCGTATCCCGCCACCGCCAGCGACTTCTTGAGCGCTGCCAGGGACACGCCGCTGCGCTCCTTGGAAGATGAGACCGCCTGCACAATGAGCTCGGACACCGAAGGTCCCGCGGGCTTCTTCCGAGGAGCGGCAGCTTTTGCTGGCTTCTTGGTCTTCTTTGCTGGGGCAGGTTTCTCGGGAGCAGCTGAAGTAGCCTGAGCGACTGGCGCCGTCTCCGACATGGTTGCTGGAGAGTAAACAACAGCAACAACCAAGACGAAGAAAAGAAGTAGAAAGACAAGGCCACTGTGCGGCGTATTTATAGAGCAGGGCCGCGCTGTGATTGGTGCACGCTAATGCCCGCCCCCTGGAACCTGAAGTCCCGCCCCTCGTGTCCCTGGATGCTTGCAAGATTTCAGAGCCTAACTCCTTCGAGATGCCAGGGACCTATCTTAGTTCGTGTTTTACGCTTAGAGGCGGCCTCCAAACTTCTCGGGCTGGCTGCTTGAGTTGGAGTTTCAACCAGAGCAGGAACAGTTTTTACTCTCCTGCTTTATCATCGGAAGGTAGTAGATGCCTATCAAAAAGTAGCTCAACTAGCGAAAGGTGGCTGTAAATTAGGCAATCAAAACCCATAAAGCTAGCCTGTAAACCTTGTTTGTGGGTTTCAGCACTGATTCTTGGCAGTACTGAAAGCTATGTAATATCCTTTTTATATTTTACATTTCATATTTATAGTTATGGAAGCGTAGTTGTTCTAAGGAGTGTCAGCATGCGACAGTGGTTTCATATTGCGAGCCAGCAGCTCTAATAGAACGACTGAACTGTACCACACAATACTGAGAAAGCGCCTATTGTTCGAGAGAAAAGCCATGGCATAACTTATCCCGGGTTATGCAATTACGCAATAGCTCTTACCCAGTTTCTTTTAAAGAAGACATTTAAAATGTAATCTTAACGTACGGTGACGATTTCTATTGTTTTTATTTAAACAATAGTTCTCGAACGTATCGAGTGACCTCTAGCCACGAATGCATGAAAATACTTAGAGAATTCAATCCCCAAATGCAAAAACTCAAAGCATACATGCAAGTACAGCCATTTAATGAAGCTCATAATAACCCGAGTCAGACTTCTGTATTTTTATTCCCAAGTTTCTCTCCGTGGTTTACAGTGCGGGTTGCAACAAAATGGAGTCTTTCCACGCAAATGAAGAATTCTAAATCTGCTGTTTTAGTGGCTATTTACGAAACGCAGTAAGCCAATCAAAAGGTAGAATCTGGCCTGCCCTCCTTCAATTGCAAAAGTAACATTCTACATTTCAATACTCGAGACATCAAGATTGTTCTCTATTCTTCAATAGCACCAAGTCCAAGCTCCAATGTGTTGGGAGGCAGAAGTGCTGTAGAAGAGGACAGTCACTGGAATTTTATTTTATTTAAAACGTACACACACATATACAAAAAAAGTGTGGCAGCAGACTACCTTAGCCACAGAGAACCAGCAACTGCAGTTCTAAAATATAAACCAATGAAAGTCTTAAACGTCACAGATGACCAGTATTTTCATCCAATCACTATTTTTTGTATACTATAAATAGTAGTTCTGCGCGCACTGTTTCCATGTTCCAAAGTGTTCAGTCACTACCTATTTAGCTATGGCTCGTACAAAGCAGACCGCTCGTAAGTCCACCGGCGGCAAGGCCCCGCGGAAGCAGCTGGCCACTAAGGCCGCCCGCAAGAGCGCCCCGGCCACCGGCGGCGTGAAGAAGCCCCACCGCTACCGCCCCGGCACCGTGGCGCTGCGCGAGATCCGGCGCTACCAGAAGTCGACCGAGCTGCTGATCCGCAAGCTGCCGTTCCAGCGCCTGGTGCGCGAGATCGCGCAGGACTTCAAGACCGACCTGCGCTTCCAGAGCTCTGCGGTGATGGCCCTGCAGGAGGCGAGCGAGGCCTACCTTGTGGGTCTGTTTGAGGACACCAACCTGTGCGCCATCCACGCCAAGCGTGTCACCATCATGCCCAAGGACATCCAGCTGGCCCGCCGCATCCGGGGAGAGAGGGCGTAATGTTTTTATGCTTTCTGTCTCAAAAAAGGCTCTTTTAAGAGCCACCTAAAATTTCATCTAAAGTTGCTGTACCCTATTTCGCGGTTTTATTCTAGTAAGTAGTTGTGGTTATGATTTTAGTATGCCAGTTGTGTATATAGTTCTATGTTTCAACAGAAGCTAGTTGTTTACATTAGGTGTCCTATGAATCAGGAAAACTGAAGTTAGACGCATGGTAAACCATAAGGTAAGGATCACTTTAATTTCAACACTTTTTTGTAACCTTCCTTTTAACTCATTCTAACAGGTAAAATAATTAACTTTTTAGTAAGATTGAACTTATTTTCCTGATAACTGTAAGAGTGTCCATTTTAAACGTTTGGAGTCATGTTTAAAAGATTATCATTTCTTCCATGTAAATTAAAATCTTAGTTTAGCTTCTAGCTCTTTCAGATTTTTTTTTTTCCTCCACTACATCCATGCTTGGAGCTAATAACTAAAAATGTGTGTCATCAGGTGGTATCTTAACACTGTGCCAGAAATCGAGGTGAGCCTGTGGCCTTGAGCCTCTCTCAAGAGAAATGCTGGCAAGAATTAATATATAGTTAGGCCTGTAGATGACTTAACTAAACCCAAAATAAATATAACTAGATATTTACCAACAAATTCCAAATATTCCCATCACCATTCTAACAGAATCACACAAGGGTTGTTGGTTGTTGTTACTTGATTGTTCGTTTTTCTTTTTTGTTTTTCCAGCCACGGCTTCTCTTTATGGCGCTGGCTGTCCTGGAACTTGATCTGTAGCCCAAGCTGGGCTCAAAAATCTTCCTGCCTCTGAGTCTTGAGTGTTGGGACTAAAAGTATGAGCCACCATTATCTGGCGTGAAGGTGATAAACCAAAGAAATGACACAAAACACAAGGAGATTGACAGTACATACTAAAGTTACATTCACAACTTAGAACAAGGATGACAACAAGCCTAGATGACAAGAGGCCTAGAGCTCCATCCAGGGCCTTAGAAGTTGGGAGATCCGGCTTTCATTAACTTCCAAGTAAACCTGCCTCTAAGCTTTGGCTCCTTCAAATCCTACACGGCCCCTCCACCCCACCCCCCCTACCCGAAACTATTCCATTTATATTCATTCACTTTCACACAAGCTCATCCCCATTCCGAATCTCTGGACTCTGGCCCTGGGGCATAGCTTTTTTCTATGATACTTTGACTGAGGCTGCCATTATTTAGAAAAAAAAGGAAGGAGAAAGCATGTGGTGGTCAATATAGTCAGTTGTAAGCAATTTGAACATGTGAGCCTCAGGTGAAATTCCTGGTATAATTTTAGAACACTTTATAGATTCACTCAGTATTGAACTACATCTTCCTAGAAACAAAGAGGTCCTTAAAGAAGAAAGTAAAAATTAAAACTGGAAATCATTAGAGAGAGACCCCATCAGACAAGTCTGGTGTGAATCACATGAGCGAAGTATTACTTAACCTCATCAGGAGGTTGAAGCAAGATAATAAAGTATTTGAGGCATGGGTGTCCCAATATAGTGAGTTACGGGTCCGCTTGGGCAACAAAGTAGCATCTTGTTTCCCAAAAAAAAAAAAAGGAGGGGGAGAGGGAAAGAGATGGTGCTTAAACTGAATTATTAGAATTTTTACTAGATTTCAAAGCAATGTTCCCCATTAAGGGATTTTGAGATGTTAACTACTAGCAAATATTTCCAGCCAGTCCCACAACAAACAAATACAATTAGTCTCCTGATAAACAGGTTTGTACCAAAATGGATAATCAAACATAATTTTTTTGTCTTCATCTTCTTCAAAGGTGATTGTGTTTCCGGTATAAGGCTGTGCCAAGATAGGCAGGAGAATCTGTGAAAGGCTGGCCTTCATTAGACCCTAAAAACTCTGTCAGTGCTGGTATGAGGAGTTATGGGTAGTGGGAGGCAGTAAGGTATCAGACATTAAGGATTCTCTCTAAACTTCAGGACCACATCAGAATTATTGTTTCCTTAGAAACAGCTAGATACTACCCCAGAGCATGTATTTTTGTTTTTCCTTACACTATTAATATGAGAACTGCATGGCTGACAAGCATTTTAAATTTAGCTAGTATAGTCCAAATTGTACTGCAAGTGTAAAGTATATTCCAGATTACAAAGACAATACATGAGAAAAAAATTAACAGAATAGTTTCATATTATTTACTGAAATTGTACTTGTTTATCATGGTTGACAGCATTAAGATAGGTTTCAGTTGTTTCTTTTTGGTTTTTAGTTAGAAAATTTTAATTAAATATATGATCATATAGTTTTGTGGAAAATTATTACTGTATAGAAGATAGGATAGTGATTTATAGATCAGCAACTAACTAAATGAATCCTTGATATTGCCAAGCCTCCATTCTTAGTCTCTAAAATTCGAGAAATAATAGCACACCCCTCAATGTGCTATGCCAAGACTGTGTTAGGAAATAAATGCTTGGCTTCTACAAGATAATGCACATGAAATACTAGCTCTCAGTAAGTGGTACTACCACCAGCCCTGAATCCCTGCTCTCTTCCAAATGCTTCTAATGGTAATCCTGCTAATCTGGCTTCTGTGCATCTCTAGCTGGGATTTCAAACACAAAGAAAGCCATGTGAGGAAGGATACAGTCTTGTAAAGAAAAAAGAATGTCACCTCAGTGCTGTGTTGGCATGAGGTTCTCTAACCTAAAATCAGAATAAATTCTCCTTATGGAAGAATCTCTATTCTTATACTTGGAAAAGGAGCAATCCACTCTGGATGTCAAGACAGCAGTGACATGAGGCCTTTCTTACTCAGAGAACAAGGCTGTCAACGTGGTTTGAACTTCTGTCTCAGACTAGTTTTCACCAATGGTGTCATCTTTTGAAGCTTGAACCCCACTTTCCTGGGCTACCATAGTTCATTCTAAGTTCTCAGTCTATCTTTGAGTTCTAGTCTGTTCAGTGAACTCTGGACTTATAAAATATGAATGTATTTTTTTTTCTTTTCTTCCCTTCTTACCTTTATCAGTTCATGGGTCATGAGTTACTCAAGAGTGGAGGGAGAATCCTTGCTGAAAATTTCATACACATAATCAAGCTGAGAAAAGAATTTGTCTTAAGCAGATCAATTTTTAGGCTCCAGATTAATGACATCTATTGGTCTGAGCAGTCAGTCACCTATTGGAACATTTGTGTTGTGAGGGGAAGGGGAAAAAGTAAAGAACTTAAAATTTAAAAAGTGAGGAAATGTAATGTTGCATCTAAAGACTGTGGGTGGGCTATAATTTTTAGCTCTCAAATAATTAAGAAAATATTTGATATAAAAGTACAGATGGAGACTGAAGATAAAGCTCAATGGGAGATCATTTGCCTGGCATGCACAAGGCCCTTAGTGGCGCCTCTAGTACCAAAGTGAAGGGGAAGTATAAAAAAAAAAACAAAAAACAAACCAACAAAAAAAACCCCAAAACAAACAGTAAAAAACCTAAATGTTTATGCAACATTTCCTATATTCAGATAAATTTTAAATATCCAAATCAAATAAATTGAAACCCAAAGAAGCACTGAATGGAAACTAGAAAATCAATGATTTTTTCTTGGAATGATTCTTTACATGTCTAACTCTTGGAGTGCTGAAATCTAATAAATGTGGAGAATTGAAAATATCTGAAGGTGGACTGTAGAGGATAGTTTGAATAGTGTCATTTCTTCAAGCTTTGTTATTATTATCATTTTATTATTGTTATGGCTATAGTTAAGTATTTACTGGTGATGTAACTCAAGGCATCTCTCATGACAGACCAACAGTCTACCACTGAGCTACATGCCCATGTTCTCAGTCTTAAAGACTATTTGTGGTTTTATTTGAAGTAACATGTTTGTTGGCTAGGTGGTTAGTTATTTTGTTTTTGGTTGTTGTTGCTTGTGTTTGTTGTTTTTGTTGTGTCTTGTTTTGACAATCTCTCTACATAGCACTGGCTGCATTGGAACTTACTACGTACACCAGGCTGACCTTGAACTCTCAGAGATACCCTGGGGTCCTTCTGCAGAGTGCTGGAATTAAAGGCCACCACGTTCAACAGGTTTTGGTTTTTCTGACAACATCTGCTCCATCGTTCAGTTGTGGTCTACAACCCAGGATCCTCCTACTTGACCTTCCTAAGTGTTGGGTTTACAAATATGGCACCACACCCTGTGCTATATTTAACATCACAAGTAAGTCTCCTGGTAGCTACAGTGTGATGCAATTCTGGTTAATGAGGTATTTCCAGTGACAACAGTTCATTTCACAAGGCTCCAGGAGGAAATGAGAAACTCAGATGAGGGAGATGAGAAAATATAGTTCTGCCCAACTTTTATCTATCCCCTTCCCTGCAAGTTTGCTCAGTTCTACACTCCTTACTCTTCTTGGTCTCCTTTCTGGTGGCTTAGAAGACAAGCTCCAGTCACCTGACATCAGGTGACCACTTCTTCTATAACTCAGTTCCATCTTTTAATTTTTAATTAATTTATTTTTGATTCAGGGTCTCAACTAGTAGCCCTACGTAGTTTAGAACTCATTAGACCAGGCTCACCAAGAACTCACAGAGATTTTCAGTATATGACTTATTAACAAAACACATTTTCAAACACTCATCATAAACAAAGATGTAGAGGAAAGAAAGGTCTGAGGTCATTCTAAAGTGGTGTTTACCTATATTGTCTCCATACCCACAGGTAGCTAACTGAACATTAGAAACAGCATATATTCTGGACTGAGATGCACAAGTACAAAATACATGTAACACAAAGATGTAATATAAGAGACAAAAATATAGACTATTACTCATTTTATATTCATTTCACATTGAAAGACAATATTTTGGATGTAGTGGATTTAAAATGGATTTCACCTGTTTCTTTTTTATATAAATACTGCTTTTAGATTTTAAAGTTACGTATGTTCTCACCTTACGTATCAATGGACAGATCTGTTCTAAAATTCTTAATTCATTTGTGCAGAGATTGCTTCAATAACTAAGTGGTTTTATTGTCCACTTTGTGGGATGTTCTTAAAGGAATCATATTTCATAGAGTATTATTGCCAACAACAATAAAGATGTTTCTAGGGTAAAAATATTGGGACATATTTGGAGAAAATTTAAAGATCAGAAAGAAAAACATGCTTTTTTTTTTTTACATAAGAAAATGGCTAGCTCCACAAATTTGCTTTAACACAATCTCAATAAAAATACCAAGAAGCTTTTCTCTGAGTGATGGGACACTAGACAATATCTTCAAATACATACGTAAATGTCAAAGGAAATGACAGTAGCTGGCTGTAGTGGCAAGGACATGAAATCCCAGCTACTGGAGGCTGAGGCAGGGAGGTCACAAGTTTCAGACCATACTGGGAGAGGATGAGACCTTTTCACAAAATAAAAAGTAGAAACAAGTGTGTCAGGGACACATTTCAGTGGTAGAACAACTGCTAGCACGTTCAGTCCCCTTAACAACGAATTAACTATTAAAATATAGAAGGAATGCCTTGAAAGAGTTTGAGAAGAGGTGTTGAAGATTTAACGTCAACTTAGTCTTCCAGGACAGCCATGACTATACAGAGAAATCCTATCTTGGAAATGGGGTGGGGGCTGGAGGCTGGGGTGGTCTGACAGCAACAAAAATAACAAAAAAGTTGTGAGAATTCGTTCTTATCTCCCATTTAAGTTATTATAAGCTATCAGTTAACCAAACAATATTTGAATCCTTGCTATGTATCAAGTACCCTCCACATTGAAGATAGCATTGAATTAGTCTAATTTACCTTTGAACAGAAACTACCAAAAAGACCAACAGAAAGAAACTTGAGGTTAAGGTTATTCAAGGAATTTAGTCTATGTCAAACATGAAATAAAAACTGGGAAGAATCGACAGAGTTCACAGGTGGTACTGAGGGCATGGAGTTGGGAAGATGGATCTATTTATTTTGCTTTGTACTAAAATAGCTATTTATTTTAACTGAGGACTCAAAACACTGTAAGAAAACGGGAGACTTCCTTTTCTGATCTCCTGGCTTTCCCAGGTTAAATACTTAGGACACTGAAATAATCACTGGATCCGCTAAGCAAATTTTTGTTTTAGGTCTCCAAAAGGCACGCTTCACATCACTCACTATAGGGAACACCAGAAATATGATCCAGGCTTCTATAAATCAGCAATCTCAATCTCCCTATCTAATAGAAAGACTGCCGGTGTGAAAGAATCCAACAGTGGGTGAAAACTAAAAGCTTTTATTAGAAACAGACCTTCAACAGAGCAAATTTATTAACATTTTGGACTGTTCAAAGCATTACCAATAAACGTCAGTATTTATGTGAAGTCTATCTTTAGTGATGACACACGTATAACGTAAGCGCCTCGGAAACCCGAGGCAATGTTAATCTACAACTATCCCGTATCAAAATAAGGCAAAACAAGTAAAATAATCGGTAATAGTAATGAACTTAAAAAAAAAAATGGCTGACCCAGGTTGTGACGCAGTTCAATCCACCACTCCATTGCTGTAGCAAACAAACCAAAAGTACCAGAAACAACCGTTTCAGTCCTCAGTCCAACTTATCTGAGCAGGCTAATCGTTCCGGCAGTTATCCCTCTTTTTATTAAGGAAGGCAAGTTAGCGCCAGCATCCTACCTCCTCCCATATTTCAGGGCTAACACCAACAGGATAAACCCAGAAGCCATCTACAAGTCCCGGATGCGTTTCTCCACGCAGGAAGCGCAAACTTCGGGATGGCGCCCAATCAATCCAAGGACTAAAGTCCTGGGCCGGAGTAAGCCAACCCACAATCTAGGCGGAACTTTCAAATCACATTGTAGTCCAATACGCACTAGCGCCAAGGATTGCTTTCTGTTGACAGCTGTGGGAGGGTGCACTCGCACATAGCACTTCCTGAGCCGCCCGGCACAAACAACTCTAGGTGGGATCGACAACCCCACCCATCCCGCCGAGCGCTGCCTGGGTTGAGTCCCACGCAACCTTGCTAAGTTATACAAATGTCACAGCTCTTAAGTGGGAGTGGTGGCTCTGAAAAGAGCCTTTTGGATTGTTAAGGAGACCGCCTACTTCTTCTTGGCTGCAACCTTCTTGGTCTTCGCAACCTTAGGCTTGGCAGCCTTCGGCTTTACGGCCTTAGAAGCGCTCTTGACCTTTTTGGCCTTGGTGACCTTCGCTTTCTTTGGGCTCTTGGCCACTTTCTTGGTCACGGCAGCCGCCGCCGGCTTCTTCGCCTTCTTCGGGGTCTTCTTGGCCGCTTTTTTGGGTGTGGCGGCACCGGTCGCCTTCTTGGGCTTCTTGGCTGCGCTCGCAGGCTTCTTAGCCTTGGCCGCGCCTGCCTTCTTGGTCTTGGGCTTAGCCTCACCGGAAGCTGCCTTCTTGTTGAGTTTGAAGGAGCCGGAGGCGCCGGTGCCCTTGGTCTGCACCAGAATGCCCTTGCTCACCAGGCTCTTCAGACCGAGCTTGATGCGGCTGTTGTTCTTCTCCACATCGTATCCCACGGCCGCCAGCGCCTTCTTGAGCGCGGCCAGGGACACGCCATTGCGCTCCTTGGAGGCGGCCACAGCCTTGGTGATCAGCTCGGACACCGGGGGGCCCGACGCCTTGCGGCGCACCCCCGAGGGTTTCTTGGCAGCCTTCTTCTTCGCAGGCGCCTTCTCCGCAGGGGGCGCGGCGGCGGGGGCAGCAGGAGCAGTCTCCGACATGATGAGTCTCTGAAAGTCAGGAACTAATGGCAAAACGCAGATGGAGTAGCGCGGGCCCGGCCGCTGTATATATAGAGCGCAGGCGCGCGCTGATTGGTGCTCCGGCGGCCTGCCTAGCTGGCAAGCTCTGAGCAGCCGCTCTGCGCCCAACTTGTGTTTGTTACACTTCACAAAAAGGAGAAAATATTAAAATATCTTGCACCAAATCTCTCGAGTTTGGTCGGTAAAGGATCCGAGAAGCCTCGGGCTTCAGAATATATGTTTATTTTTTCTTCATCCCTAAAGACAGCGCGCCTAGGAGTCCCTAATTCCCCCAACTCCAAAGGAAGTCCGGGGTAGATAGAGACCACTTTCTGTTTTTCTTCTAAATTACCTGGTCGCTCCTTTGCCCTTGAAAGTTCTTTTTCTCAGGGATTATAGAGCACATGCTTCTCTTAATTTAGGTACAAAAATGAAACAATTTCCGCCTAAATTTTCACGATTATTCTGTTTCTTCACAAAGGAAGTAACACAAGTCCTTGGTGACTTCTGAGTACAGACCCACCACAACCATGGGCTACGACTGGGATTTCCAGTATAAAACACTTGGGGCAAGTTAAAAGGGGGTTCATAGGCCTTGGGGGTGTACCATGTGGTGGGGGTCTTAGGATTTAAATAGCTGATTTAAAGACACTGACTTTAAAATGCGTTTCATTGGTGGGGGCGGGGCACCTTTTTCTCTTCTATGAAGGGAAACATTGGGCTGTATTTTTAAAGCTCCTGGTTCCCCTCTGAGTTTTGCAAGGTAGGGGTCTAACTCTGAAGAATAGACATAATAAGAAAAGAAAGAAACTCCAAAAGTCTGTATGAGCCCTCCTTTCCCCCAAATGGCAATTAGAGTCTATGAAAGATCTGTTTTTAAAGCAACAACACTGGCTTATTTTGCAACAGTGCAGGTACAAATTTCACCGCATGGAAATTCTAATCTAGAAAATAGTTTGACTTAGCACAGGAGAACCTTCTAAACTTGGAGACTATAAGGTGCAGATGTCAGTAAAGTCACTGGCTTTACTAAAGGTTACATTCGACATAGATTTGACCAAGCTAAATATTTGAAATAGGAAATGTAGCAAATTTTAACAATAAGATGAGACAAGGTAAGTACAAATTATCGAGCCATCTATAGTGGACAGCTCTATGTCACTTCTCAGTTCCTCTGAATATGGCATCTGTATTCGGGTCAACTTTGCTTTGTTAGCTTAAGGTTTTTCAGCTTCATATTTCAGCCTTTGGCTCCAATAACTACAACGTGATTTCATTGTTAGAGAAAATGCAAGATAAACTCTCTGCCAGTATAATTAATACATGAGGCAAAGGAAGTTCCCCTAATTTTTATCAGAAATCTCTGTTCAAGTATATGTCTACATAAAAACATGTGGTGAAGTTGTCAGCATTAACGTGTGGTAAAGTTACAAGTTTATACAAATTGAGTTCAGGGATGTTTGTGAAACAAAGCATGTTTTCTAAGACTGAGAATGGTCCTGTGGTTTCATGTAATAACATTAGTTTAGCACTTGCAAACAGCATCTCCTAGGCTTGTGTTCTCTGGGAATTAACAGCCTAATGGGATTAGGGATGGATGAATTGCTAGCAGTAGAACCACTTTAAGAGTTGCCTTCCTGTGTGGACTTTGAAATGAGAATTGCAAGGCATTATTGACAGTCCACAACGGAAGCACCTTCAACATACCAATATGCTGTAGTAAAAAAAATGAGAACATGTCACCTTGCTGTGATTACGTGGGAAACGCATGAATCCCTCCACATCTGATAGTTGTCCGTCTCCCCCAGGAAAACAGCTGTGTATGTTCTAGCTCTTCAATTTCCTCACTTTCCCGTCACTGTAAATTCTCGAATCATTTCTAAATCCTGGAATTTTTAATTTGAGTCTTATGATGCCAAATCAATCAAATCATAGCTTTTTAAATGCAATTAATTAATAAAGATTGCCTGGTATAGATGCAAATTAGTTGCTTGCAATAGAAAAAGATAACCATGAAAGTTATATTTGTATTATACAATAATAATAAATTATATCTCTAATTTTTCAGCATTCATTGAGCACTCTTTCGTTCTCCGAGTAAATACACACTTTATCTTCCTATATTCTTCTTTGAACTAAATTGTTATCCAGCTTGCTTACTCACTTATGAGTTCCATCATTCTTCGACATATATATGAACTTACCACATATAGTATTTATGTATGAGTCATATTTAATAGTTCAAAAATTATATGCTGATGTTTGATTAGTCAGACTGTCCTAAGGGCATCCAATCAGAATCTTCAGATGTCACCCTTTAAAATGAAAACTATAAAATGTGGAACTTTAAAGGAACCTGAGAGTTAATAAGTGTCCAATGGAGTCTGAAATTTTTAAAGTGAGTTGAATAAGATTGTGGGCAAGAAAACTTCTATTCATATGTGCTCCAAGCAAAAGGTTAGATTAAGGATATGACCTTTAGATGCAATATCACTGGATAGACACCAGTGAAATGAGAGCACTGATGAAACATTGTGATGATGTCATGTGGTCTCATATTTGTTTGTATGATGAAGATTGCAGGAAGATAAGGTTTTGTCATGCCATGTCTTCAGGCTGTGTTGCCATGGTGGGTGGAATTAAATATGTAGAGAATGTGCAGAAGAAGCTGGAGACAGAAAAGTTTAACAGCAAGATACACTCATAGGAGGGTGAGAGTGTTTAGGACAAGTTTAAGGGATGGGGCTTCCACCTTTTCTTTTCCATTTCCTCCCTCCAGCATATCAGAGTGGGGTTGGCTGGAGCAGCTTTTCAAGGTTAATATAGATTCCAACTTGGAGTAATTGAAACCTGTGTTTCCCTAACTCATCAAGGTATGATGCTAAAAGCCACAACCACATTATTAGCAATGCCTGCCTCAAAATGATGAATGATAACTGGTCCATTGTGAGACAGACAATGTTGGCAGCACAAATAAAAAAACACACAAGTGATGTCAGGGGGTTTATTGCCTTCTAGTCTGTTGTCTCACTTCAGTCTCACAAATAGTTTCTACAAATAATCTTAAGCAGTGGTTCTCTTATTTTCTCAGTCTCTCCAGGCAGATGTCCACCAGTACAAGATCAAGCCTTTGCTACAATGTTTCCCCCATTGATACCTGAGTTCATGAAGGGCCAAGATCTCTTGCACTTTTATGACCTAGTTCACCCTCAGATGCAATGAGGAACCCGACATACACCATAGCAGCATAAAGAAAGGACGTAAAGCAAATAGAGAATTACAAAAAGAGACACATTGTAAAACTGTCCCCGGACACTTTGGAATTGCCACCAGAGCCCTGGGATACAGCTCCCCCCCACACCCCCTACTTATTTTCAAACGACTTTAAAACAGTTTCAAAACACTAAACTCACCTTCCAAAGATATAAATTTGATAGTCTTGACAATATACACTTTTTATACCTCCTTAGTCTAACCTTACAATGAAGGCACAAAAGGAAGACATAAGCTAGATAATCACCTTGATCATCTTGCACATGGTTGTTTTGTAACTGCATATATATATATATGCAGTGAACATAAACAGCAATCGTCCAAGGCGAGGAGATTCTCAGCTCCTCTAAAGGCCAAGTGCCGGCTAGGACAGACACAGATAAGCATTTCAGGGCAAACACTCTTGATAGGAAAATAAAAGTCTGAAAGAAAAAGAACAGTCAGAGGTCAATGTATGGACCAAACCTTTTCCTTAAGTAATTACTAATGCAGCTGTGAAATTGTAAGATAAGAGAACTGCTTAAGCCGAGGGGATAGAGAGGCAGGAGGGTTAGAAATTCTATACAGAGTTCAAGGCCAACCTGAGCTGTGTGAAACCTGTCTCAAAAAGAAACAAACAAGGAGAATAGCTTAGAACAGGAATCCTCACGCTCTTAAATATCAAGCCCTTTCTACTCCAACAATCTAGTAAGCCCTCTGAAAATCTGTTAAGATACTAAAACTGTTGTATGGACCATTTTAGGTATTGAAGCTAGATATTAAATTAAGTAATCTGATAATTGATAACCATGATTTGTTTAATAATCGTTTAAGATATAAACTTAATTTAATGCGCTTATATGCTATTCATATGTAAGCTATATATTCTACACTACAAATTTCTATCTCATATAGAAAGAAACCACGTAACATCAGATGGGAAGTTCTTATGCTTTATCCCATTCAAAAGGTCATACCACATGGATCCAAAAGATGTAAGGTTGTGTGGGGGTGGAGATTACAATTTACTGGTGATGCCAGTGATGGAGAGACATAGCTTCGAAGCAAGCAGGCTTGGTTTTAATTCCACTTCCTCCATTCGTATGCTAGAGATGATGCCCAGATCCTAAGCACCAACTTACACTTGGAAGATCATGAGGATTAAGTAATGAGTGTTCCCCTTCAAGCTGTGGGGTGTGCTCACGTAGCCACTGCTCGTTAAACAGTTACTCCCACTAGACCCTTAAGGTGTGAGAACGCTCTGCTGTGGGCATGATTCTGAGAAAGGTTGTCCCTTCCTTGCTTAGAAGACAAGTCTGACAGATGGATGAGACTAGACAAAGTCCAACCAGCTGTTTCCTTCTTTCTGATTACTTGTATTTCTCAGGTTCGTCCCAAAGGCCCAAGAACCCAGGTGTTACTCTAAGAAGAGGAGATGGTGCTGAACCATCACAGATGGGAAAAAGTGGTGTGTGTGTGTGTGTATACGTGTGTGCACACATGCTCTCGAACACACGTGTGTGTTTGCACAAGAGTAAACAAATGTGGTTATGCATTGGAAGACCAGTAGATGAGTAAATAATGCAAGTCTATGATTCTCCACATAAGGGTCTGTCCCAACAGAACCAGAACCCCATTCCATGTCCACTTTACAAGCCTATGAAGACCCTCACACAATCACTCTGTCCCTGCCTTCTCCATTGCAGGCAGGTCATACCTTTGATGACAAGGGGGTATAACTGGTTAATTTATAAGAAAGACCA